CCCCTTATTGTTTTATTAGGGCCCCCACCCACCGCGCAGGGGTGGGGGCCAGAGGTTCCCCCCCATATCTTTATTTAGGGCCCCCACCCACTGCTCAGGGGTGGGGGCCAGGTTCCCCCCCATCTTTATTTAGGGCCCCCACGGGCATCAAGCTAAATTCTGACTGCGCAGCTCATTTAAAATGGCGACGGTCCTTCCATTTGAAAAATGAGTACAGGGTCCACTTCAACCCCTCACTGTGGCTCCTTGGAGATGTCATGATCGGGCACAGGCTGCCATGAAGGGGCATGGTGTAGCCGATGTGGGAAGCAACCTGCCATAGCAAACTAGGTCCCCTCGCGGCAATCACACCTTAACTGCTCCTGTGCAACCTGATGCCTGCCAGCCAGTGCTGAGAACCCCAAGAGTCATTACTTCATCGCAGTCATTACACTTGCAGGAGATTGCCTGCCGACTAGGGTATCTTACAACTAGATCCCCTGCTAGCTCCAGAGGGACCAAGGACTTGGCTCCTGGGAATACCCAAGCCTGGGGATTTGGGATGCAGGCCCTTACTAATGCCGGGAGTTGGAGTACAGCTCAGCATAGACACCACCCTGTGGTTACTCACCCGGACTCTCGTGACACCACGCCGGCCCTGCAACCCGTCAGAATTGGTTGAACCCGGTGCCAGTCTGCAGCCTGAGAACACACACACGACAAGCAGACGCCATATGAAGTGCACAACTCAACACGTGACTTATACTTATCAAGGCTATTCACACTATTCTAAGTTTTATTAAACGTATTGTTTCATTATTATGCTAATTTTCTCATTCTTCTTAGTAGTTTAATTACTATTCTAATTCATCAATAGGTGTGAATACTGATATGTGTTATGTGATATAGAAAGTCCAGGAAAGAGTAGAACACGGATACAGTGGTTTAATCTCATGACACTCGCCTAATATTTAAATTTTAGTCAGCTCCATGTCATGAGTCTATCTTATAACTGTATAACCAGATAATATTAAAGGACCACTATAGTGCCAGGAAAACATACTCGTTTTCCTGGCACTATAGTGCCCTGAGGGTGCCCCCACCCTCAGGCTCCCCCTCCCGCCCGGCTCTGGAAGGGGGTAAGGGGTTAAAACTTACCTTTTTCCAGCGCTGGGCGAGGAGCTCTCCTCCTCCGATCCTCCTTCTCTCCTCCCCGTCGGCTGAATGCGCACGCACGGCAAGAGCTGCGCGCGCATTGAGCCCGTCACATAGGAAAGCATTATCAATGCTTTCCTATGGACGCTTGCATGCTCTCACTGTGAAAATCACACTGAGAAGCACGCAAGCGCCTCTAGCGACTGTCAATGAGATAGCCGCTAGAGGAAATAGGGGAAGGCTTAACCCATTCATAAACATAGCAGTTTCTCTGAATCTGACATGGCAGCTTAGCTTGAAACCTCAATCATAACTATTGTTATAAGCATGTTAATCTTAACAAGTATGTTGGCCTAGCTTGATTTCTCTTATTTTTACATTTAAAAAAAAGTGCAGTTCGTTTTGACATTTTATGCTATCAATCTACATGTACATCTAAATGTATTCAATCATTGTGTTCATGCATCATGTGTCACTGTCATTTCAAGTATTTCTCACTGCACTACAAAAATAAAGAATTTCAAAACAAAATAAAATAAAATTAAGCATTTTTGTAAAGCCTGCATCAAATAGTTTGTTTAGTTAAACTTTAATGTTACCATAGTATGGTTATTATTTCCCAAATGCTCTCTAACTTAAATGTTTGAAAATGCTATTCTACTTGGTGCTTCTGTTACTTAAATTCAAATAAAAAATCCTGCAGGATGCACATTCGCAAATTTGGATTCACTTGCTTTATGTAAGTGAATAGATCATTTGATAAACGCTAGCAGCCAGCTGGGAATAAAAAAGCTTTTTTTTCTTTAACCCCTTAAGGACTGGACTGTTTTTGCGATGTTGTACATTTGCGACCAGGCATATTTTTACACTTTTGTGGTGTTTGTGTTTGGCTGGAATTTTCCGCTCTCTCATTTACTGTTCCCATACAAATTATATATTGTTTTTTTCAGGACAAAAGGGGCTTTCTTTACATACCATTATTTATATAATCTCATGTATTTTAATTTTAAAAAAATTAAAAAATATGATGAAAAATTGAAAAAAATACATGTTTTTTGACTTTTACTTGAAAAATCTTTTACTCATCTACAAAAGCGAATTAAAAAAACTGCTAAATAGATTCAAAATTTTGTCCTGAGTTTAAAAATACCCCGTGTTTACATGCTTTTTTGCTTTTTTTTGCATGTTATAGGGCTATAGGTACAAGTAGAATATTGCGGTTTCAAAACATAATTTTTTTAAATTTATCAATAGTGACATTGTAACACTATTATCTGTCATAAATCTCTGAATAACACCCCACATGTACATATTTTTTTTAAAGTAGACAACCCAGGGTATTCAATATGGGGTATGTCCAGTCTTTTTTAGTAGCCACTTAGTCGAAAACACTGGCCAAAGTAAGCATTCATATTTGTTTGTGTGTGAAAAAAGTAAAAAAAAACTAAATTGAACGCTAATTTTGGCCAGTGTTTGTGACCAAGTGGTTACTAAAAAAGACTGGACATACCCCATTTGCAATACCTTGGGTTGTCTTCTTTTGCAAATGGTATGCCATCATGGGGGTAATTCTCATTCCTGGGCTACCATACGCTCTCAAAGGCAACGTAACCAACCTGGCCATTTTCAATGTAAAAATATTTGACCCATATATTTGACCTTGTAACTTTCAAAAATGCTATAAAACCTGTACATGGGGGGTACTGTTTTACTCAGGAGACATGCTGAACACAAATATTAGTGTTTAAAAACTGGAAAACGTATCACAACAATTATATCATCAGTAAAAGTGCTGTTTGTGTGTGAAAAATGCAAAAAAAGTCACTTTCACTGACAATATCATCGCTGTGATATGTTTTACTGTTTTGAATCACTAATATTTGTGTTCAGCGAAGTCTCCCGAGTAAAACAGTACCCCCCATGTACAGGTTTTAGGGTGTCGTAGAACGTTACAGGGTAAAATACAGTGCTAGCAAATTCAATTCTCTGGAATTTCGGCCTGGGTTGGCAGGCAGGTCCCTTAAATTGCAATCAATAAAATTACTGAATTATGTAAAACTATTACATAAATACGCACGTAGAATTTAAATATATATGCATATTTATATATTTGAAGTCTACGTGTATATTTATATAATTATTTATGTAATTTTGTATATGGACATATGTATATTTCTTATTATTTTTATTTATTTTTATATACATAGATATATATACAAATTCATTCTAAGTGTATTTTGATATAAATATATATATATTAATTTTAAAATACAGTTAGAATAAAATTTCATATAGATATATAATTTTTTTATTATTATTATTTTAAAAACATTTTATTTAATTTAAATTACTTATTATTTATATTTTATAATAATATATATATATACAATATATATAGTTATATATATTATATATATACGTGTGTAATTTAATTATAAGTGTATTTTTATATTAATATAAGTACATATTAATATAAAAATACACTTAGTATGGCATTATATAGATGATATATAGACATATATTATATAGATATATTATATGTCTATATATCATATATACACCTATATAATTATTATTATTTTTTTTATTACCATTAACTTTATTTTTATTTTTGATTTTACATTAGCAGGGAGACTGCCTGTCAGCACAGACAGTCCCCCTGCAGGCAGCACTATGGACACCTATTGTGACCATGTGATCGCTGTGTTAAGCGATCACATGGCCACAGGGGTCCTAATCTGCCGTGGGGAGACTGTCTGGGCTGCAGGCAGTCTCCCCACAACCGGAGGAACACTGATCGCCGCCGGGGGAACGACGGCGATCAGGTAAGTACCCCCAGACCGTTAGGACGGTTCAGGACCGTCATCGGTCCTCAAGGCAAAAATGCCGATGACGGTCCTAAACCGTCCTCGGTCGCTAAGGGGTTAAAAAAAAAAACCCTTGGCGGCACGAGGATCATTATGTTGCAGCTGACCTCCTCTGTATTCAGCTGCCACATAAAAAAAAAAGCAAATAAATAAATAGAAAAATAAATTAAAATCTTACGGAGGTTAATCTATGATCTTTTCATTTTCAAGTTTAGGCAATCTAATTGCCCTTTTGCAAGCACAATTGACATGTTCATATTAAATGCCCTTTTCTTTTCTTTTATCATTTGACTGAGTCTTGTGCTAAGCCACATTGATTTTAATTTGCTTCTTTTTGATTTGTTTACCAATGGGATGTATTGAGAAATGTACTTTGTAGGATTTGTTTAACCCCTTAAGGACCAAACTTCTGGAATAAAAGGGAATCATGACATGTCACACGTCATTTGTCCTTAAGGGGTTAAAGAACTTCCATGTATCCTCTGTGCTTTTGCCAGTGAATATTTCCTGCCAGTAAATAAGTTATAATGATGTCCTTATCCTATTGAATTTAACCGTTTTAAAATTAAGTATTTTTGCATAGCCAATATAAAATTAATAGTTAATGTGACTGTATAATCCTGTAACCTGTCAATCATTCCCTTTTTCCCATAAAATAAAATAGCCAAGTAATCCACAGAGTAATAAATCGCCGGTATCGCAGAATAATCCACACATGAGCCAAAGCTTAATGCTGGAACAAGAATGATTTACTGGGAACAAGAGTGCTCAATTTATGCAACACATAACTCCTCCTCTGGGCCAGGCTAGATAATTGAGTTTGAGCAGCTTATCAAACACAATTACCTACTGGCCAGAAAAGTTAACATTTTCCACAATTCTTAAAAATATACTTTATACATAACATATTAGCCGAGGGTGATGTGAGCAACATATTCAAAATTCGTGAAAATCCGTTTGGTAGTTTTTGAGTTATACCGTGTTAAAGTTTGACCGGCTCTTCACGAAATTGTAGCCGACTCAGAGTTCCATAGAATCAGGGACAAGAGCCGGTCTTCGTTCGGATGAAATTTGCATGAAAACCGCTGTAGGTATTTTCAATCTGGTTCGTGGAGAATGCTTCACTCATTTGTCTGTTACAAACTCCCGAACGCCGTTCTTCTGCCGTATTGTCACGGCTGCTAGTGTGGTCCAACACGCAGAAACTATGTAAACCTATACAAAGAAATAAGAAAGGAAATAAAAGGATAGAACGTAAACCGGACCTTAGAATGGCCGGACTAATACGTTGGAGACAGAGAATGGTCAAAGGGAAAGCCGAGGTCAAGGAAGCCAGAAATACACAATACCGTTTCAACAAGCCAAGTCAGGGGAACCAGAAATCGGAATAACCAGGAATAGCCAAGATCAGAATACCAGAATATCAATATCACAAGGAAAAACGCACTCTCAGGAAACCAGGAACGAGAAACCACGACTGGGGTGAACTAAGGATTTAAATATCCCTCTCTAGGCTCTGATTGGTCCCCAGAGTTCTGACCTCAGAACGTGCGCGACCTCATGGTCGGCGCCATCTTGGATTTCCCCGAGCGGCATGGAGATGCGGTTCCCGGCTCGCCACTGAGCAGGTAAGCTCAGTGAGTTGGTGTGGTCGTGCTGGTCGGGCACGTACGCACATGGCGGCGAGCCGGGGGCCATGACAGTACCCCCCACTTGAAGACCGCTCATCGGGCGGGAAGGAGCCGGCTTGCGAGGAAAACTGTTGTGAAACAACCGGAAAGACGGGGAGCATGAATCCGATCCGCAAGAACCCAACTACATCCTCCGGGCCATATCCCTTCCAGTCAACCAGATAAGACAGAACACCTCTAGAGAACTTGGAGTCTAAAATAGTTTGGACTTCGTACTCCTCTTGATCACCTACTACCAAGGGCGGAGGAGGAACAATCATATTTGTGTATCGATTGCAAGTGAGGGGCTTAAGCAATGATACATGAAAGGAATTAGCAATTCTCATATGAGCAGGGAGTGCCAATGAATAGGTCACAGGGTTTATATGACGGAGGACACGAAAGGGACCTATGAATCGAGGAGCTAGTTTCATGGAACGAACCTTGAGTTTGATATGACTTGTGGACAACCAAACCCTGTCCCCCACTTGATAAACAGGATTGGCACCCCGTTTCTTATCAGCTTGAACTTTAGTATGTTTAGAGGCATTCTGTAATGCTGAATGAACAGAATCCCAAGTGTCTTGGATAGAAGTCAAATGGGTGTTTAATGCAGGAATATCAGTGCTCGAAAATGCAGAAGGTAAAATAGTGGGGTGATAACCTTGATTTACAAAAAATGGACTCTGACTCGAGGATTCGTGAGTCGCATTATTTCTGGCAAATTCAGCCATGGGTAAGAGTTCGAACCAATTGGACTGATTGGCATCGATAAAGCAACGCAAATAGGATTCTAAAGATTGAATAAAGGTAGGTTCTGCTCACCCCCCTCAGCCTCCCCACCACCCCAACTCCCTCACCACCACCCTCAGCCTCCCCACCACCCCAACTCCCTCACCACCACCCTAAGCCTCCCCTCCCCACCCTCAGCCTCCCCACCCCCCACCAGCCTCACCACCACCCTCAGGCTCACCACCCCACCACCCTCAGCCTCAACACCCCTCACCACCCTCAGCCTCCCCACCCCCCCACCACCACCTCAGCCTCACCACCCCACACCATCAGCCTTACCACGCACTTTATGCCCTCAGCCTCATCACCCACCCCAACTCCTGCCTGCTTCCAGCCTCCCCACCCCCCCACCAGCCTCACACCACCCCCACAACCTCAGTCCTCACCACCACCCCTCAGCCTCCACCACCGCCCCTCAGCCTCCACCACCTTCAGCCCCACTCAGCTCACCGCCTGGGTGCTGCACCCCACACCTCAGCCTCCCCCACACCACCGCCTCAGCCTCCTGCCCTCGGCCTCACGCCCTCACCGCCCTCGGCCTCCCCACCCCCGCCGGCCTCACCACCGCCTCAGCCTCTCCTCCTACCACCCTCAGCCCTCACCACCACCCTCAGCCTCACCCCCCCACCACCCTCACCTCTCACCACCCTCAGCCTCCCACCACCCCAACTCCCTCACCACCACCCTTAGCCTCCCTCACCCACCACCACCCTCAGCCTCCCACCCCACCAGCCTCACCTCTGCACCCTCAGCCTCCTGCCCCTGCACCAGCCTCCTCCCATTCGGCCTCCCCACCGCCCTCAGCCTCACCCCCCACGCCACCTCTGGCTTCCCCACCCCCCATGCCGGCCTCACCACCACCACCCTCAGCCTCACCAGCCTCACCACCACCCCTCACCACCTTCAGCCTCACCTCCCTCCACCAGCCTCACCACCACCCTCAGCCTCACCACCCTCACCACCACCACCCACAGCCTCTTACCCTCAGCCTCCACCTCCTGCCTCAGCCTCTGCACCCCCCACCACCTTCAGCCCTCACCACCCCACCATCTAAGCCTTGCCACCCCCTCACCCTCGGCCTCACCTCCCAAGCATCACTTGCACCCTCCAGCCTCCTGCACCCGACACCACCCACAGCTTCTGCCTCAGCCTCACAGCCCACCACCCCTCAGCCTCACCCTCCTGCCCCTCAGCCTCCCCCTCCTGCCACCCTCAGCATCACCCCCCACCACCCTCAGCATCACCCCTCCTTGCCATCAACCCCCTCCTTACCGTCAACCCCCCATCTCTCACCATCAGCATCAACCCCTCTCCTTCTCCACATCACCCCCTCTCCTTCTCATCTGCCTCCTTCTCATCACCTCCTCCTTCTCATCACCTCCTCGCCTCACATCACCCCCCTCCCACATCTCCTTCCTCCACCCCTCCTTCTCAAATTCCCCTCTCCTTCTCCCATTACCCCCCCTCTCAGCTCTCACCATCACCCCCCCTCACCATCACCCCGCCCCTCCCTCTCACCATCACCCCCCATACACACAACACACTTCAAGCAGCTACCCTATACACATACGGTCTCAGACAAAAACGCAAACATGCTCACACACAAGGATACTCTCTGTCAGACACACTCTCAGGCACATACACAGGTAGACAGTGCCTCAATGTGTATATGTGACACTTTTTTGTTAGTGGGGCCTCGTGTTTGAGTTTGGCCTAAAGCCTCATAAAGTCTAGAGCTGCCTCTGCTAGAGAGTGCATCTGCCTTGGTATTCTTTGTCCCGGGCCTGTATGTAATTATAAAATTAAACCAGGAGAGGAATAATGACCGTCTAGCCTGTCGGGAGAACAATCGGTAAAAATCAAAAGTGGCTCTTTGGAACCTTCCAAGAGATGCCTCCATTCCTTAAGGGTGAGAACAATGGCCAGTAATTCCCTATTCCCGATGTCATAATTTCTCTCTGCTGGAGTTAATTTTCGAGAGAAAAAGCCACAGGGATGTAAAGGCGCATCAGGACTCTCTCTTTGAGATAGAACCTGTCTCTGACGCATCTACTTCTAAAATAAAAGGTTTGGTCAGATCAGGGTGCGTCAGGACAGTTGCATAAGCAAATAAAGATTTTAATCTTTCAAATGCCTCCTTTGCTTCTTTGGACCATAAATTACAATTTGCCCCTTTCTTGGTTAGGTTTGTAATAGGAGCGATTACTGATGAGAAATTCTTAATGAACTTACGGTAATAATTTGCAAAACCTATAAAGCGTTGTGTAGCTTTAAGACCTTTGGGTGATGACCATTGCAAGACTGCTTCCAGTTTGTGTGGGTCCATTTTGAAACCAGAAGGGGATATAACATAGCCAAGAAACTGTATCTCAGTCTGGTCAAACTGGCATTTTTCCAGCTTACAGTACTGTATAAGCCATTTTTAACAGGGTTTTTAGTATGATTCTCACATGTCTGTGATGAGTTTCTAGGTCTGGGGAATAGATGAGAATATCGTCTAGATACACTAGTACGAATATGTGAAGATATTCTCTAAGGACATCGTTAGTCAAGTCCTGAAATACCGCTGGGGTGTTGCATAGGCCAAACGCATAACCAGGTATTCATAATGTCCCATTCTCATATTAAACGCAGTCATCCATTCATGCCCTTCCTTAATTCTGACTAGGTTGTATGCGCTCCTCAGATCGAGTTTTGTGAATACGCGGGCACCCATCAACCTATCAAATAGCTCAGAAATAAGGTTGAATGGGATAGGCATTTTTAATCGTAATTTTATTTAGACCCCTATAATCAATACAAGGGCGTAGGTCTCCTTCTTTTTTAGAAATGAAGAAGAACCCAGCCCCAGCAGGTAAAGAGGATCTTCTTATGTGACCCTTTCTGAGAACATCCTTAATGTATTCTTCTAAACAAAGGGTTTCTTGAGGAGAAAGTACATAAACTCCTCCTTTAGGGGGCATAGTGCCAGGTAACAAATTAATGTCACAGTCGTAGGGCCTGTGTGGAGGTAATACCTCCGACTGAACCTTGTTAAATACTTCTTTTAAGTCCAAATACTGCGGTGGGATTTCTGTGGTTAAGGGAGGTGCTATAGGTACATTGATGGTACCGATTCGTTTAGGCACCTGTTTTAAGCAATAACCTCTGCAACTCTTTCCCCAACTCACAATCTCTCCTTCAACCCAATCTAGACATGGATTGTGTTTCTGGAGCCAAGGAAAACCGAGTATTATTGGACATGTAGCTGAAGATATAATTTGAAAAACCTACTGAGACAGTGATTGGTATAGTTTCGTGTGTGATGAGAGGTTGAGTAAGAGGTCTCCCATCGATAGCCTCTACTGCTATGGGTCTGTCTTTCTGCCTTAAAGGCAGAAGATGTTTGGCAGAAAATTCCTTATCAAGGAAATTCTCCGCTGCCCCAGAGTCAATCATGGCCTCACACTAAACAGTGGTTTACTTACAAAACAGAGTGATTTTTATAAGAAAGCGGTTCTTAGTCAATTTACGGGACATATACATCACACTTAAGGTCGGTCCCCGAACGTGCCTTAGGTGGGAAAGTTTTCCGGCCGAACCGGACAAGAAAGCATCAGATGTCCTCTTTTGCCACAATATAGGCACAACCCCTCGTTGTGTCTGTATTGTCTTTCCGCCTCACTCAGTTTGGTAATGCCCAATTGCATGGGTTTGGCCTCTGCAGGTGGAGCAGGACTAACAGTCACTGGGTTAGAGAAACGAGGTGCTATAGACAAGTTTGTACATCTAGTACGCTGTTTGCTTTTCTCCCTCTCTCTGAGCCTGTTGTCAATGTCAATCATGTATGCAATAAAATCATTAAGATTAACCGGAAGGTCTCTGGCAGCGGTTTCATCTTGTATATTGTCCGCTAGACCTTCAGAAAAAGCAGCCACCAAACCACTATTGGTCCAGTCAACCTCAGAAGCTAATGTTCTGAACTCTATGGAGTAATCGGCTACAGAGTGGGTGCCTTGTTTTATTCTCATTAAGGCTCTAGCAGCGTTTTTCTCTTTTCCCTTTGGCTCAAAAGTGGCTTTAAATGCCGTTAAAAAGTCATTATTATCACAGGCAACTGGATTTCCACTCTCCCATAAGGGATTGGCCCAGGTTAAGGCCTTGCCTGTTAATTGGTTCATAAGATAGCCAATCTTTGACCTATCTGTAGGGAAGGAACCAGGGGAAGCCTCGAAATGATATTCAATTTGGTTAAGGAAACCTCTGAATTCTTTAGAATCACCTCCAAAATGAGGGGAAGGGGAAAGGGTTATGGATGGAGGTTTATATACTACAGGTGCAGGTATAGGTGGCGGAACTACAGGTGGTACCGGGGGTGCCTCCAGATAAGCAGTTCTCTGGAGCAAGGTCTGGAACGCTTGGGAAAACTGATCTAATCCTCCACTGTGTTCTCACAGGCTATCATATGTTTACATAGTTCTGCAGGATCCATGGCCCTGTTGTAATGTCACGGCTGCTAGTGTGGTCCAACACGCAGAAACTATGTAAACCTATACAAAGAAATAAGAAAGGAACTAAAAGGATAGAACGTAAACCGGACCTTAGAATGGCCGGACTAACACGTTGGAGACAGAGAATGGTGAAAGGGAAAGCCGAGGTCAAGGAAGCCAGAAATACACAATACGGTTTCAACAAGCCAAGTCAGGGGAACCAGAAATCGGAATAACCAGGAATAGCCAAGATCAGAATATCAATATCACAAGGAAAAATGCACTCTCAGGAAACCAGGAACGAGAAACCACGACAGGGCAAGGTACTGGGGTGAATTAGGGATTTAAATATCCCTCTCTAGGCTCTGATTGGTCAGAGGTTGACCTATGACTCCAGAACGTGCGCGTGCCTTGACGTCGTGACGTCATGTGCACGTTCTTATAATTTTGGGGGGTGGAGCCATCTTGGATTTCCCCGAGCGGCGTGGAGGAGCAGTTCCTGGCTCGCCGCTGAGCAGGTAAGCTCAGTGAGTTGGTGCGGTCGTGCCGGTCGGGCACGGATGCACATGGCGGTGAGCTGGGGGCCGCGACATATTTAGAAGGTGTTTGTATGGGACTTCCAGAGGGGGACCCAGGGTGGTTTTTGTTCAGTAAACTGACTATTTTACCGAACAAGGGAATTTAACGAAAATAAAGTAATGAATGAACTAGTAATAAAGGTAATAAATCCAACGAATACAGTAGCAGGGAGGGAGAGAACCGAAGGAGTGGACGGTGATTCTTCACAGTTAATATCAAATTATACCATATTATGGTCACTATTTTGTTTTCAAAGTGCTCATTAAGTTGAATGTCTGATATTAGGTCAATATTATTAGTTATTATAAGATCCAGAGAAGCATCTCTTCTAGTTGTTCTTCTACTAATTGACACATAAAATTATTGTTTATCAGGTTCAAAAAACATTTTCCCTTAAAGGGACACTATAGTCACCAAAAGAACTTTGGCTTAATGAAGCAGTTTGGGTGTATAGATCATGTCCCTCCAGTGTCACTGCTCAAGGGTTTATGCACCCTAGGCACACGCCCTACATGGGACTTACACAGCCTTGCTAAATACTTCATGTAATGAGTCATCTAATTTTTATACTTCCTTTATCGCAAATTCTGTTTAATTTAGAATTTATCTCCTTCACAATTAATAGCTTGCTAGACTCTGCAGGAGTATTTTATGTAATTAAAGCAACATTTTTAGAGCAGGAAATAAAAACTAATAATTGCAAGTGAAAACTTTTTTTTTTTTTTAAATGCAAGCTGTGTCAGTCACAGCCAGGGGAGGTTTAGCTAGTGCTGCATAAACTGAAACAAAAGTGATTTAACTCCTAATTGACAGATAATTGAGCAATGAGACTTCAGAGACACAATCTATCCACAAAAACTGCTTCATTAAGCAAAAGTTGTTTTGGTGACTATAGTGTCCCTTTAACTGTACTACGAGTCCCTCTATCCTAATCAATGTCTGAATAATGTGAAAAAACTCAGATGATTAATAAATTACCCAGTTGTGCGCAGGGCCAGTGCAAGCATTTTTGGCGTCCTAGGCGAAAACAAATATGCCACCCCATTTGCTTCACCCAATCATGCAGACTAACACACGCTGACTCAAGTAGACACACACTGACCATTCAAACTAACACACACGCACTGACCCATGTAGATTGACGCACACCGACTCATATACACACACTGATCCATGCAGACACACACATACAGACACACTGACCCATGCAGACACACACACATACAGACAGACACACTGACCCATGCAGGCACACACAGTGGCCCATGCAGACACAGACAATGACCCATACACATGCACAATGATCCATACAGATACACAAATGACCCATACAGATACACACAGTGACCCATACAGACACACAATGACCCATAGAGACAGACACACTGACCCATACAGACAGACTCACTGACCCATACAGACTGGCATACATCAACATACTGACTAAAGTAGACTAACACACGTTCTCTGACATACCATACCTTACCTTCATTTCTGTTCATTGCCTGCGCCTGGCTGCCCATCACGTCCTTTCTCTGCACATTTCCTGTTATGCTCCCACCCACTTCTCCCCATGTACAGGGGAATCGGCGGGAGCAAGGAATTTAAGTGCCCACACGCTGCCGTAATGCATGTCTGGGAGGGGGGCCTGGCTGAGTGGCCTGTGGTGGATGCCACCGGGCCTGCGTTCTACCAGGCTCTAGTGAGCAACAATGTAAGTGCTTCCCAGCTCCCGGCAAAATGTCTGACGGCATACTCAAAATAATCTAATTTGATGGAGGGCCGTGGCACAAACATAAAACCCCCTTAGGCAGCACCCCAGTCGGCTGCCTATTTTGCCTATGGTTGGCCCTGGTTGTGCGGCGTTCTTTCCCATATGCAGGGGCGTACCTAGAGCATTTGGCACCGGGGACGGGTCCTATTTTTGTCACCCTATCCCCCCAACTTTAAATGTAAAAAACAACCACGTTTTTTTTTTTTATGCATTTAGCACTGAGCAGTGTTTGTGTGTTTGAATGTAAGCATGTTTTTGTATGGAGTATGTGTGAGTGAATGTAGGGGTGTGTTTGTATGTAGTGTTGGCATTTGAATGCAAGCATGCATTTGTGTGTTGTGTGGTATTTGAATGAAGTGGTATGGTTATATATAATGGTGGGATTTGTATGTAGTGTTGACGTTGAAATTTATGAGTGTATTTGTGTGTAGTGTTAGCGAGATTTTGAGATGTATGCACATATACACATACACGGACATACACACATGCAGATACATATACACACATGCAGATACACAGAAACACAGTCACGCACAGATACACACAGACACACATGCAGACATAGTGGCGACTCTAGGAACAATATATGGGGGGGAGGGAGGGATAGATACCACAGTCAAAACAGGGGGGGGGGGATGGGGGGGTTGGGCAGGGTGAGCAGTAAAACTTTTCACTAGGAGATGGGGTAATGTGCTGCCATTGGCTGTCTGATGCCAGCATGCTGTGCTCTGCATGCTGGCATTTGACAACACATTTGCATATAATCCACATTAGCCACACAGATTTCCTGTTGTGGGCTGGCTGACACCTCTTAATTTCGATCTTTGTTTAGCAGATAACTCCTCTATTTGCTATCCTTATGTGGGATTGCCATATTTAAGGACACCAAATAAGGTGCTATCTGATAAACAGCACACTCATTTGGTATCTTTAAATATGGAAATCTCACATACAGGCACCAGTTCAAGGAATTATCTACTAACCAGATAAAGGATCAAAATTTTAAAAAGCCCTTTTCTTATTTTCGGTTGTTTAGTAGATAAATCCCTTATTTGTTATCCTTATGTGGGATTGCAATATTTAAGGACACCAAGTAAGGAAGCTATCTACTAAACACATACACAGAGATACACACAATCACACACATAATCACAGATATACACAAACACAATCACAGACCCACACCGATACAATCACAGACACACAATCACATACACACACAAACATTACATACATACACACATTTAATAATTAAGAGGTCCACCCAGCCTCCCTACCTTGCTCTAGAAGGGCTGGAGTGGATCCTCAGTCCCTGGTGGTCAGTGGTTGCTGCTGGGATCTCTGTGCACAGGTCCCTCGCACACTGTTTAATGACCAGAGGCTGCGATTACATCATATCCCAGCTGCCGGCTCACTGCAGGGCGAGGACCGTCAGACACAGTCAGATGCACACAGTCCCACACACAGTCACTCACACACAGTTACAGACAGACAGTCAAACACGCAGTCACAGGCAGACAGTCACACAGGCAGACAGTCAAACATACATGCACACAATCACAGGCAGACCGTCACAATCACAGTTACACACAGC